TTTTTTTTTGTTAGTTTTCTTTTCTGGTTTTGTGTTTTCTTTTCTTTCTATTTATTTTCTCTTTGTTTTTATTTTACTTTCTTTTAAGTTTACTTTTTAATTAATATTAAAATGATCCCCAAATTAGTAATACCATGAAACCACTGCCACAAAAGGTTTTATCCCAAAACAATTTAGTTTAGTATTTTATTTATTTATAAAAGCATTTAAATATCGGTTTTGCTACTGTTTTATTCATTTTAGAATAATTACACATTTTATAAGAGTGTGGTTCCTCCACCATAATTACCTATGTATTATTTGGTTCACTCCGAACATTTAAATTTTAATATTTGAAAACTTTTATTGTTTGCCTATATTTTAAATTTTAATTTGAATCGTTTTTGAACTAACTCGAGTTTATCAACAGTAACCGAGTGACGTGGCATCGTTAACGCGGGATTATTGTAGCCTAATTATCCGGGCGTCACACTCTAGAACCAGGCCAGCGGGTCCTTATTCCCAAGCCCGGGAAGAGGGTTATCTTCATTCCCCCACCTCATCCGAGGTCTGGGGTTGCCGTTGCACCCCTTTGTGCGCGGGCTTCTCTTCTACTACGGGCTAGATTTCCACCATCTAGCCCCGAACTCCATCCTCCATCTCGCGACGTTCATCATTGTCTTCAAGGCCTTCCTCCGTATCGAGCCACACGTTGGCCTGTGGATAAAGATTTTCGATACCAAGCCGAAGTCTAGTGGCTCCGAACTGGTGGAGTGTGGGAGGGCCATGATCAGTAGGGCCTAAAAGGTCGACTGGTTCAAGGGAACCTTCATAGAAACCATCAAAGAATGCCAACAAGAGTGGTTCTACATCACTGAACCACTCGCCGACGGCCAGGCTGAAGTCCCAGCCTTTCTCGTTGGCTCCCCCAAAGAGGCTAGTTTCTTGGAAAAGGAAAGTCTTGGATTGGGGCAACCCCGAAAAGGTGACAAAGTTGCACCAGAAAATCAAATTTCTGGCAGACAAAAAAGAAGATCAAGCTGGTGGACATGGTGGACGTCAAGCTCCACCGCCGCATCCTGCCATTATAGCTTCGAGCGAGCCCGAGGACGTGCCACCAGTGAAGCACTTCTTGCGCACCTCCCTGGCTGGGATGTCAACGACGCTATTCAAGCTGTCCCGGAACACCCCCCAGAGGGGACGGATTGCGGCTTTGACTCCACACACGATGCCCCCGAGGTAACCACGGATACAACTTCATATCGTGTCTTCCTTTCGTGTCATTGGCCCTTTTTATCAAAACAATTAAACTCGTTCTTTCTTGTCTTAGAAATGGATCCTCAAGGTACAACATATGCTATGCCCGGCTTGGATGCCCCAGGAGGCGAGGTCACCTCGGCTTATGGCTCTTCTGGCCGAGGATATGTACGTGGTTCCACCCAAGGAGCCGAAGCGCCTGAAAAGGAAGGTGGCCCTTGCATCCCAGGACCTTCAGAGGCCAGGTCCGAGGACATCCATGCTTCTTCCACCCATGAGAAGGTGGTGGAGGAGGAGGAGGAGAAGGAGGCATAGGAGAACATGGGGGAAGGGGCGCCTTCCCCAAAAGGAAAAAGGGCGGCGTTCGAAGATGCTGAGGAGGAGGCGCACGCCCGAGCCAGCAACAGGCTGCACAAGGTCTCGGCCAATCAAGTCGGCTAGCAAGCCGTGCCAGCCCAGGTCACGCACTCTGACTTGTCGGATGACGACCTCTTCTAGCAAAAGCGGACAAAATCGGCACCCCGGAGGTAATTTTAACAACCCGAACGGAATCGATATTTCCTATACTCCATAACTTGTGACTGTTGGGGAACGTAGCATGCAATTTCAAAAGTTTTCCTACGATCACGCAAGATCTATCTAGGAGATGCATAGCAACAAGAGGGGGAGAGTGTGTCCACGTACCCTCGTAGACCAAAAGCGGAAGCGTTAGCTTAATGCGGTTGATGTAGTCGAACGTCTTCGCGATCCAATCGATCAAGCACCGAACGTATGGCACCTCCGAGTTCCGCACATGTTCAGCTCGATGACGTCCCTCAAACTCTTGATCCATCAAAGTGTCGAGGGAGAGTTTCGTCAGCACGATGGCGTGGTGACGGTGATGGTGATGTGATCCGCGTAGGGCTTTGCCTAAGCACTACGACAAAAT